CGCCGTCCACGTGTCAGTCATCCAACGCTAAAGCAGATTTTTAGGTCAACAAAAAGACTGACCGATAAATCGGATCAACATATGAAAACTGACATGTCAGTTGAAAAGTCGTAAAATGACAGCGAAAGTTAAACGTGGTATAACATAACGGTACAATAATGTACAATGGCTGGGAGCCATTTCCGGGACCACGGTCCACCAACCAGCTCACTCCCCTGAACCGACCCTGTAACCTGAAAAACATAAACATCGTGGGGCGTGAGCACTAAAAGTCACTGTGCTCCGTAGGAACTCATACTAAAGTAAACAGTGAAAATAATTACAATAACATGATCCTAGTATATATAACTGAACTGAAACTGGTACTGAATAAGCATGAACTGATAATCATCAACTGACTGATACCTCATCTGCCAGCTTAAAAATGTCGGACACCATGTGCACACACTAGTGGGCATACTAAGGCCACTAGAACCCAGAATGGACCGGCGACCATTCCAAGCGGATACTGACTGATAATACATACCTCAAACATGGTAGAGTAATTATAATCAATGTAATACCCAGTCTGAGTCCCCACCTGAACTGCTGTTTTGAAAACGTAAGTGCTGATGGTCGCTGATTGATCAAACTGTAACATATATATAAACAAACACTAAGTACTATGCTCAGACTTATTAAAATAGTTGTTAAGATCAAGAGATCGAGTGGGGACTCAGAATGTGTATTACATTGATTATAATTATTCTACCATGTTTGATGTATGTATTATCAGTATCCGCTCAAAATGGTCACCAGTCCATTTTGGGTTCTAGTGGCCTTAGTCTGCCCACTAAAGTGTGCACATGGTGTCCGGCATTTCTATGCAGGCAGATGTATCAGTCAGGTGATGATTATCACGATATCATTATCAGATCATGTTTATTCAGTACCGGTTTCAGTTTAGTTATGTACATGACAGGATCATGATATTGTTATTATTTTCATTGTTTATTTTAGTATGAGTTTCTACGGAGCACAATGGACATTAGTGCTCACGCCCCACTTTTATTATATTTTTCAGGTCATGGAGTCGGACCGGAGGTGTGAGATGACGACCAGTTCAAGATTATGCTTATAACGTTTGAATTATGCGGCTGTTATGCTTATAAAGTTTGAATTACGCACGACGGTGCTGTTACTATCTCCCGTAGGGGGATTTACATGTTTTGCCACTACAGTTTCCGTAGAGATTTTACTTTTGTCAAACTTAGCCCTTTTTGATCCGATGACATGTTATCAGACTGTTAGTCCATTTTCTTAAAAACAAAAACGTCGGATTTAAAGTAAAGTCACGTATTATGGTAGTACTCTGAATCAGTATTTCGCAAATTAAATATTTTTATTTGAAAAACTTTGCGAAAAACGCTTCTATGTTATAACATATGCTTTTTTTTTCTATGTTATAACATATGTTATATTATAACATAGATCATATAATATAATATATGTTCAAATATATTACTATATATGTTATAACATAGATCATATAAAGTATACTATATAATATAATATAGTAACATATCTATATATCTATATATAAAAAGGTTGTTGGAAAAATACATTAATAAAAATTTTGACCAAATAAATATAATGTTTGACTTGCTATTAATGGAAAGTTAAAAAAAAAACACATTTGAATCTTTAGTAACAAAATATGAATCCTATTTTATAGAGAACAAATTTGGATTTTTTAGCCTTTTTTTTGTAACAATCTTATCTTTTTAGATTTTTTTTATTTTTATTTTAACTACTTTGATAATTATCTAAGTTTTAAAAATTCTTACATACATCTGTTCAAATCCTTTTCTTTAGTAACCAAATTGATAATATTTTGTAAAAAACGTCTTGATTAATGCATAAGCTTTAAAAAATTTTACATATATCTTTTCAAATCATTATTTTTAGTAACCAAATTGATATTTTTTTTTTGGTAAAAATCACCTTGATTAATGCTTTTGAAAATTTGATTTTTCAAATAATCCAAAAGCCTTACCTTATTTGATAATAATAAAATCTATTATTTTTGGTAAAAATAAAGTCAAGTTGACGTGGTGAAATAATTTTCAATCTCATATGTCATCCTCACGCATATTTTGAATCTTTTTTTTGTAACTTTTTTTAATTAATTTATTACCTTATTGATGTTTAAAAATAACATAACATAATTTCAAACTTTTAGTATTTCGAACACAATATACAACATGTTTCATATCCATTATTTTTAATAAAATTGGATAAATATTTTGTTAACATCAATCATAATCAAATTATTTAAGAAAATAAATTCAAATCAACTTAAAATCCGAATGCAAATCATTTAAAATTTGGTCATTCATTTATGTCAAGTAATAGTGATACACTTCCAATACAAAACTTTCAAGTAAATCTTGATACACATAAAAAAAATGTCAACAAATAATTATCTTCCATAAAATCATCCTCTTTAAATTTCCTAACAAAATCCTTGTTAATTTTCAAAATTTGACATTTTTGCTTTTTAAAAAATCAAACCAATCAATTAATGTTGGAATGTATATTTTATGCCTATATGCTAATATTTTCTCCAACTAATAGTTATACACGCAATACAACTTTTTCGAGTAATCAATTGGTATCCCATAAAAATCTAGAGATTTTAGGTAATGAGAACTCAAATCAATTTAGATTTTCTATCCTATTTTTATTTTCTAACAATATCTATTAGATTCTCAACTTTGTATTAATCATTATCTAATTAATTTTAAAAATAAAATTGAATCAATTTAATGGAATCATTTATTTATTTAAAAAAAAAAATAAGTGGACTAAAATAAAACAAAAAAAAAAATTGTGGACAAAAATAAAACGGACGGATTCTCAAAATCCGTGTTTAAAAGAAACACGGATTCTGAGAATCCGTGTAACTGTAATTTCACAACGAACACGGATTACCAAAATCCGTGTTCCCTTAATTACGAACGGAACACGGATTACC